GATTACTATGAATTAAGAATAAAACTTTAATACATGCATCCCCCTCAGATGAGATCAAATAGGTACAAAGGGAAAAACAATCACAACCACAAACACTGACTAAAATTGGCAAGCACTAGAGATGAAGTTGTGTGAGATCAGCAGCCCAGGGTATCTTTAGAGACCTGAGGTAACGGTGATGCATGGCAGACAAAGGCCAGAAACATAAGGCGGCAAATTTTTTGGCTACAGAATTCAGCAGTGAACAAAACATAGCTGTGGAATTTCTGTTGAAAAGGTGGCATTTTATTCCAAACCTGCCTGTACAAACACAGCACAAGCTCCTCACCTGCACGCCACTATGAAAAAAGCCTTTGGTATCACCGCCACGCTGTTGCTTCTCAGCCCCATCCTCCCCATGAGCTACAGACGGATCCATTAAGAGTTAATACAATGAGCAACATGAGACTGCTTAAAACAACCAGACAGTCACCAAGATAAAGATCTCTGGAAAATATAAATGCTGCATCTGGGTTAATCACGTGCCAGGACTGCTGATGGTGTTTGAAGGTATTACAACATTCACTCTGCACACAGACAGAAGTGACTGGTAGCAACAGGCAGCCCAGCTGGCTGGCCCACTGTGGGGTACAAAACGGGACGGTACTTTAATAAATGCAGGAATCGTACAAGGGGCTTTCACCATCATCACCATTACACCTTTGTGATAAATCAAGGAAGATGAGATTTGACCCCACATAAATCTACAGGTACAACGTGCTTTGCTGTCTGTGTCAAATTCTCTTCTCCTATCCACAGGTAAATCTATTCCAAATATTCGGGGAGCCCACATAAGCAGGAAACAACCAGGGTAGTTACTGGAAAGGAGAAACAATGTTTCCTCAGAGTGGATGCCCTGATCACAGCATGTCTTAAACACACGGCTTAAGTCTTCTGAGCACCATCAAAACAGTGCAGTTCCCAAGAGAAAACTCTACATTTCAGCTGCAGGCCCAGATATTAACATTAAGGAGGCACTTTTAAAGCCTCCAAACCCATTTATTTTTCTCATCTTTTCTGTTTCTACCCCCTTCAACCTCTGCTTCTTCTCCTCTTAGTACCACATTCCATTTTCTCACATTTCTGTTTGCCATTCCTTCTACCAAAACCCAAATCCCTTTTTTTTAAAAAAAAAAAAAAAAAAAAAGCTCAAAGTTAAACTTTGGTTCATTTTCCTCCAGCAAAATTGACAGACAGTTACCACATAATGTATTTATCTGCTGTTAGTAGTTTTATCACCGCTGAAGGAGAGAAGGTCTGTAGTGATAGCACCATCATACCCAGATGGCCAAAGGAGGAACTGTCCAGCAGCAAAGCACCTCCTGAGAGATGGCAGGGATCAGCTACGCACTGACATGAGAAAATCAGCTATGTTCTTGAACTTCTCAATTAATAGCCACTTGCACCAGCTGTCCATTTTCTACTGAATGTATCAGTCAAGCCTCCAAAGGTTGTTTAAACCAAAACAAATGCAGCTTTTGCAGATGACACCTGAGGCGCTGTGAATATTGAAATTACTGTCTATGTACACTAAAGAATTAAAGTTTCTTAACTAGAAATCATCAAACAGGTTCCAATCAAGAGGGGAAAAAAAAAAAAGAAAGGAAAAAAAAAGAATTCAAAAAACCGCATCTCTCCGCTACTTCCCCATGCCCACTACAAAACCAAACTCAAAGCATTTTGAAATCCCAAAGCATTTCCATTTCATTCTCTGTTCTCAGCCAGAAAGACACGTTCTCTCATGAACTACCATAATTCTAGCAGCCTGAGCTGTAACTTGGTAGCTTGTCTTGTACAAGATCGAGTTCTGAGCGACACACATCCTACAAACTTTCTGAAATCCACTTTCCTCATAAATGTGTGACTAAGACTTTAATACTCAAATTCAGTAGCAGCAATAAGAACACTAGCTGCTGCCCTGAGAGGGAACTACAAATAGGAAAGGAGTCATGCTCAAAACATTGACACTTATCAATTGCAAAATAATTTAATGAGTATCCCTGTCACTTTATCTGCAGACTGCAACTCTTTCAGTGCTCAGTTTCACTGGGGTCTCTTGAGATCAAATCTGTCAAAAGAAATTGCAGCAAGCTTGTATAAGTCTATATTTTTCACTTTTCTCAGTTGTTCTGTTTTATGCCTCCAGCATGCAAGAACTACACATTGGTACGATAGTGTCATCCAGCAAGGCCTGGCATAGGCTTTCATTTAACTAATGTAACCTATGGACCTTTGCTGTGTCCAGTCCAGAACCAACATCCCCATGTTACCGTATAAACCTATCTGTCACCAGGGATTCAAATGAACAATAATAAAGTGAACAGATTAAGGATGCAACTGCAGACAATTCAATTTGCTATGGAGGCAAATTCATCAGGCATACAGTAAATAAAAGGAAAGAGGAAAGCCTAAGTGAAATACTTCATATAGTTTAAGCCCACATCTTTTATCACCCACTCCATCCCAAAACTATGCAATCAAGGAGATTTCCGGTTGGAGTTTGGGGAGGTTTTTTGTTTTGCAGGGGTTTTGTTTTTGTTTTACTAGCTGTTACTTAAGGATAGCAGTGAAAGATCATGACCCCATTTCCACTCTTCCACAGTCTGCAGGGTTCTCTTTGATGTTTCTAATGTCATGTAGCCTCGTGGATCGTATCACCTTTCCCATGAAAGCACAGGGATTATCTTTCTCCACTATTTCGCATTCTTCCTTACACGAACAAATGACACTTCCTGCTATTCTTCCAGCTGTGAAAAATAGTTGTTTATATCATATAGAAAGCCACTAGCCTTATTTTTTAACCAGCTGTTTTGCTTTACATTGTTGGTATTTTTAAACATGCTTAAACATTTCTCTTGCCTATAAAAGTAAAATTTCCCAGGAATTTTCCAGAAAAATTGTTCTTACCTTTGCATTTGCAACATCAGCTAGAAATGCAACAACAAATTAAATAGTTTCCTGGACATATGTAGCTCTTCAATGAATTCTGTGTAATACCCAAAACCTACAACAGGGCTAGCGTGAAAGAAATCATTATTGGGTTAAGATAGAAAGGCATATGGCTCCTTTTCACCCAAAGTCAATACATTAAAGCCTAACCAGATGTGCTCATTTGAGAAAGACCAGACTTAGTAAACTCACAGCCATATTTTCTAAGTAATGGTAATCTCACAGGTCTACATTTTCTTTAATGAGCTTTTCCATAGCAGAAAGCAAAGGTTGTTCCAGAAACAAAAAAAACATGGAAGATACTAGCCTCTTCCCAGAGATCCACACAGCTTAACAGGACAGCGTTTCCTCCTTGGTGGTCCCTTTATTTATTTTATTTTCTGTCAATGGCCATGCACAAAATGTTGATAAAGTCAAAGGATTAATTTTATCTCCCGTCCTCACAGTTTTTAGGTACAAAGAAGCTTCCTGGAAAAGTTTATATGTTTAGGGATGTCTGGACCTGTTGGATTCTCAAAACAAGACAGTGCCAAGTGATATCCATTGAATTTAGGTCACACTCATCTATAGGAATATGTCGTTCAGTAAGGAGGATATGCAACTCGCCACACAACCATCCTTCCCACTAGAGTGGTGATACAGATTAGTGCTTGTAAGACATACGTGGTTTAACAGATAAATCTCCTTCCTATATAATTTTAAAATCCATTCTATAAATTTCTTAGCTGAGAAGGAAACTATTGTGCTTACTCTGCAAACAGAATGGCGCCTGGGTGACATTTCTTCAACAACAGCTGCCAAGCAAAGATAACTACAGTCCTAGCAGACCCTGGACAAAGAGTCTGTCACAGGAAGAACAGACCCTTTCTATGTCCCAGTGTCCTGGTTTTGGCTGGGATAGAGTTAATTTTCTTCCTAGCAGCAGGCATAGTGCTGTGTTTTGGATTTAGGATGAGAAGAATGCTGATAACACACTGATGCTTTAGTTGTTGCTAAGTACTGCTTATGCTACTCAAGGACTTTTCAGCTTCCCATGCTCTGCCAGGTGCACAAGAAACTGGGAGGGGGCACAGCCAGAACAGTTGATCCAAACTGACCAAAGGGCTATTCCATACCATATGATGTCATGCTCAGTATATAAACTGAGG